GGTGGGGCATCTTAATTGCAATTGATCTGCACAGTTAGTTTCAGTGGGACATGCACATCTAAGGATGTCTACTCAGAAACATGTCATACTGAATTCAAAGGAGCTTCTTCCTATGGAATTGTGTCTTAGTTACCACTCACTTGTGATGGACTGGCTCACTGTGGCCTTTGTACAAGCCTTCCCCAACCTGGCTGATGTCCTTTGGGGTTTGCAGTTCAACACAGCTAGAGAGCACAAGATTGGGGGCAGGCTGTGCTAGGCTAGCTACCACTCTTTTGCTCTCCACAGCTGAACTATAGCTGCCTGGATTTTATATACTTAATCTTGAGAGAAAGATGTTAACTCTTGCTCTCTTTCCACATCCCAAGCACATTTTTGAAAGATTAAAAAGAACATCCATCTTTTAGGGCCCCAAAACCATTTACCTTAAAAGTTGTTTTTCCTTCCGGGGACAGAGAAGAGGATTGCCAAGATGAGGATCTTTTTACAACTGATTGTCGCAGCAGGAAATATATTAAAAAACAAAACAAAACAAAACAAAACCTGAAATGTGTGTTGTAGACAATGCAGATCTATTATCTGTGTGCACTTTCCAACAATTATGTTCATGTTAACATACGGATTTTATTCCTGAGGTGTGCTTTAGATTATACACATATTTTTGTTTTTTAATTTTCTCCCTGCTGTACTTCATATCTGGGACACAAGGAAAAAATCAATCAACCGAGGGACTGAATGCCATAGTAATATGGGAGAGAAACAAATTTGTGGACCATAAAGGCTGGCAGGTTCTTACTGTAATTGGATTCTGAACAACAGAAACATAACTTCTAACATGTAAGCACAATTAAATCTAAATTGATAATACAAAGAGAGGGTTTTCTAGTCTCTTAAAAACACTACAGTGCATAAGCTTCAATCCAGAAGGGAAATGGCTTAGTCACAATTTCCATGAAAAGCCCCCTAAAATTATTATGTTCATGGATGGATGTAACAAAACTATTGGTATTAAGAGAGAAATCCCTTCAAAATCAACGGATTGGAGCCAGATTTAACCATACATAAAGCTGATCTATTGAGATGCATGAGTATTTAGTCACAACTGACTTATCCCATTAATTTCAGTGGGGCTACTCTGAACAAATCTGAATCCAACCCAGTGGAAACTAAAAGCCCCTCAGAGTTCCATAATGAGTTGATCGCTTCAGAGTTTCTTCAGCCAATGGCAACTGATCTGCCAATCTGTCTGCTGAATCAATTTTGTGTATCAACTAACCATAGAATGGTGGATTGCAATGAAAGGGTCAGGAGTTACTAGATAGAAGTTTGCCCCAGAAAACAGATGCCACAAAAGAAATATTTAGTTTTTGGAGACTCCCAATACAGCACTGAAATATAGCAAGCTTGTCCTGCAAATAACAGTTTAAAATAGAATTTGAAAGCAAGGGCTCCACACTGCAGCTACTTGTATGTATGTATGTATGTATGTATGTATGTATGTATGTATTTGTGGGGAATGTGTAGTTCTCGAGATGTGTTGTTCTGTAATTCTCATGATCCCTCACTGTTAGCTCCACTGGCTAGGGCTGATGGGAATTGTAGGCCAAACAGTCTGGAGGGCCACAAGTTGTCCATCCCTTCCATTGACTAAGGGTTTCTTAGACTTTGTTAATAGCAGTGTGTAAGAACCATGCATTCTCTGAATGCTCTTATTTCCAAGATGTTTTGCCCTCTCCTCTTCATCACAAGGCCATCCAAGTGGAAGCTTTCTAGGAATCCACTTGGCTCTTTTCATTCCATGGTTGTTTCTTCCCAGGGTTAACCTCTTATAGGTCAAGTTATTCTGCCCATCTCAGCAAATTGCATGCTGCCCCTCATCCAGGAGCATCCCCCCACCAGACACACACAGTATTGGACTACAATGGATGCCCACCAGTTGCTCTTCTACTGTGACAATTGACAAAGAGGGAAAGTTGGGCCAACAGAGCTCTTTTGAGCTGCCACCTGCCCAGAGCACCAGATATAGTTCTACTGGGAGGGCAGCAACTCCAGAGAGTCCCACTGGTTATGCTCTCCCATTGCAGCAAATGGCACAGTGGGACAGCAGTTAGCTGGACTCTCTGGAAAATCTGCCTGCCCTCTGGCTGGCCCTGAGGATATCATAAGAGGACAAGCTTTCTGTAGTGTCATGTCAGCCTATGAAAGCATCTGGACCAGACCAGTCTGTTTCTGAAGGGGCCTTTCCTCAAAGCCAGGCATCCTGTGATGGGTGCCTTAGAAGCTCACCTGGAGCCATGAGGATGGACCTGCTCAGAGCCAGATTTGGGGACCTGGCTGCGGGCAGCTCTTAAGAGAGTCCAGACAACAACCATGCAGTGATAGGCGGGGACAGAGTGTGGGATGCAGTGGCAATGGTGAGAGGGCAATAATGGGGGATGCTGGTGCAAACATGCTTGTCCTCCTTAGGCAGCAAGACAGTTGCACAGATGTCTGTGTGCAATCCAATTGTCATTATCCCCTTGCACACAATCCAAAGCTTACATTCAACAATTAAGAAAAGAAGAAAACAATTCTCCATTTTAATGATTCTTCCTTCAAAACACATCACTGTACTGCATTATGTTTACTGAACACTTCTGCATGGATACACCATTCAGTGCAAACTATCCTGAAAATGAGTTCAGTAAGAAGCAGAAAAGGGGAAAGCTCACGTTCCCATAGTGTGCAACCAAGTGCATTGTGGAAACAATCATTTTCTTTATCCTTTTGTTTCTGCAAGGCTGAAATAAGCCATTATCATTCTCCCCAGTCCCCTTTTCCTTATATTGCACTTATTTCTGGGAAGTCTCGAACAAGTTTAATTATTTGATAATCTACACACATATAGTGATTTAGTTCGCATATAATAATGACAAATCATGAATTAACCAGTTTGCATGCCAGGTGTGTGCCACAGCCATTCTGATTTTCAGTCCTTGATCAGAGGTTGCTAAATGATGTCTGAACACAGAAACTATGGAGAAATTGTGGGTTAAACAACTCACAGTTAACCTACAATTAATAGTTCAGTTAACTGTGGGTTTTTAAACCCATGATTATACTATAATGGCTAGGTTTAGCCTTTACCTAGCAAACCCCATCTGGCCTGATGGGGGATGAATATTCAAAAGGCTTGCAGAATATTCCTGGTGAATTATAAATTAATGAATTAACTGATGATTTCTCTCTGTTATGTAAAAACAGCCTCATTGTTTTCACTTATGTGGAAAGCTAATGGGCTGCTATCTCTTTTTTAGTTTTAATTTACAAGAATTTGATAGATAGATAGATATTCATGTTTTGGGCAGGAGGTATGACTGGATTACTCTGTTAATTATCATTTTTCTTTTATATTGAGAAGAATGAGAATTGGCAAACATTCTATGAGTTTCTTGGTGGCTTTTGTAATCCTTAGGCAAAAATTTCACTGGGATAAAGTGGTGCAGCTTTAATCTGCACTAGTGCTCAGGCCCTGAAAGGCACATAGGGTTGATGAGTGCTTTTTCCCATTCAGTGTAAAGTTCCAGAATTTGAACACCTGTAACAAAGAAAAGAGTACCTCTGAGTTAGGGATGCCACATTTTAGATCTGCACATCTGGATGGCCTTTGCATGTTAGGCTATTTTCCTCCTAAAAATCAATTTTCACTCCAATGTGTGGGAAATGTATTTTTTAAATATATTTTAAAATGCAACACATCTGTACACAGGTCAATGCAGCCCAAGGTATCTGCGTGTGACTGAGGGTTGGATTTGGGCTTGGAGAGGGCTATGAGGGAGCCACAAAACTAGACCAACAGTTGCAATGATCAAGGGTGCCTATTATGTTGGGTAGAGATGTCTATTAGTCATCAGTGAAGTTGGGGTGGGAAGAAGTTGTAGTAATAACTTCTGTAACATTTTAAAGCAATGCTTAAGAAACCTGAGGGACTAAATACACATGGCTGTTTTGATCTTGTTAAGGGAAATGCTGGGGCCATGGCTGGGAATCTGACTACAGCACTGGCACCCAGAGAGGGATGACCACCAGCTTTCCTTTGTCCTTTTTCTGCACACAGAATGCCCCTCCCACCCACAAGGGTTCTGCTTTTCCCCATGAGTGGAAAGCAATTAATTATTTCCTTCTTATCAGAACTGATGCAGCAATCAACTTCACAACTTCCTCCCCAATTGCATTTTCCTAAAAGAATTGCAGGAGCCTGGATAATATTGTAATATACTATACACTGTGCACTGTACTTTTTTCTTCAACCATGCATAGGATGTGCTTCTATTTTAATTTGCATAAGATGTATGGGATTATCCCTTATTTGGGTCTAACAATTCTACATTATTTTGTGGTATTGATGTAAATAAATAAATAATAGCCATGTTGAAAACTGTAATTTCCTGTATGTCAGTCACGTGTGTGGCTTCCCTCATTAGCTGAGAACAATGGAAGGCAGAAATTGCCTTGTTTCTCATAAAATGTTTGGGGTACAATACAGCTGACACTTTTTGCCTTTTACTTCTTGTTTCGCTTTTAGAAAAGTGAGGAGAGGAGAGGAGATCTAAGCTAGCATAATAATCCAAGTGGGCAGCAAGTGACATGACCAGATCTATAAGGCCGTCCTATTCAAAGCAATGATGCAGGTAGCTCTGAGCATGTGCACTCCACATGCTCCTCATTGCTGAATAAGTCCAGGAGCAAGGTTTTATGGGCAGGAAATACACAGATAAAGGTGTCAGTAGCTTCCTCTTAACTATATCAGTACAGTGAAAGGCATTTATCCAGATGTGAATAAGTACAAAGTTTGCATTATTTGCCAGCGTATGCTCTGGTAGACTTGCACTTGCTCCATCCACAACCTTTAGAATACCATTTGCCTATTCATCTAACTTGTGCATAGTCTATAAAACCAAGATGAATAGGTTTTAACACTGAAAGCAGGGATTTAATGCAAGTTCCACTGCTGTATTTAGTTGCAGATCTGTCTTGCTGCACAGCACCACTCCGGATCCAGGCAAAGAGTCCCTGATGTACATGGCAACTACGGCCTTTCCGTGTGGTAAGATTCCTGGTCACCTCCTCAAGCTCTACTGCCTTACTTGGAGAACTGATGTTGCCTTCCATCTTGCTGATTCTTGAACACTTTTTCATTCCAGTCTGTGGGATTCCATTTCTTCTTGTGTTTTCCTGTTGTCCTGAGATATATTCCTGAGGACTGACCCAGCTCACCCTTAACATTGTTTGGCCACTTCAGACAGACCCCAGCAAGTGATCTTTGATCAGGCAATGCCTCTCTCTCTTCTGCAACTACATCACATCCTGTTGGCTCCCTGTTCTTGCTCTTGCTACCCACAGCATTTTTCTTGCTACTGACACGGGCACTTCCAATAGATCAATGTATGGAAACTGAAAAAAATTAATGCATTTCTAGCACTACCTGAACTATGTCACATAACAACTGGCAGCTTGCCACAGGGGAGGAGACCGTGCTATTTGGGCAGAAACAGATATTCTTCCCCCTTGCCACAAGTTGCCAGTGGCAATCTAATGCCATTCACACAGTGGTACAGCTGCTGCAGCCAGTATTTCAGCTGAGGGGCTGGCTTCATTCCTCACTCATCAACCTGAGCAGGAAGATGAAGGCTTAAATGATGCCAACTGATCCTGACCACGGGGCTCAGCTGGGCCCTGGAAGTGCAAGACAGTCTGCTCTGCTCATTGGCCACCTTCCCTTCTTCCTGAGAAATATGTGCTTGAGTTCATTAGTTCCAAATGACTATTGACCAAAGCTACAGTGGGATGTGAGTCAAGTGAGTGTCAGGGTGGTATACTCTGATGTCTGAATCTAGTGCAGACAATTCCATGTGGGTTGTTTTTCACCAACATGATAACCTGCAAATCCATAGCTTCAAATAGGGTTGTTGAGGATCACTTTGCCAAGTAGGAGCCGTTGTTCACCACCTCTGCTTTGGTGTTTCTTTTTAGAACAGTTACTTCTTTCACTGTTATTTTTCCTTTTCAGTGCTTTTGTATTGGGCAAATGGGCTTGTATTTTCTCTTAGTATTGTTTTTCTCCTGGTTCCCTCACAGCTGAGGGCAAATTAGCTTATAAGTAGCCTTGTCAACTTCTATGTATCTAAGCTGCTTTGGTAGTCACTTTGTCAGCTGAAACATACAAAGAAAGCAACTACACATATGCAAGAGTGGAATTGGTACACTTGCAAAGATGCAGGGGTGAGCAGGATACAGATCCCTTGCACACTTCCAAGGAACCAAACTTTTTTCCCTCTAAAGTGACAAATGAAGCACATTCTCTGAAGGGGGCAGTTCAGGAAAGCTGGAAGAGGGCTGGAAGGGAGAAGGAAAGGGGCTGGGATGGGGAAAGAAGACAGACTGTGCCATAAAGCGCACTGGGACTCAGCATGGGCTGCAAGACTGAGAGGAGTTCTGGGGGAAATCACTAGCACTGCTTGCTTGTCTTTTGGGAGTGACATGGATTAGAAGTGAACAACTAACCCTTGGTGGCTTATCCTTCAGCATAGCTTAGCATTAGGTGTGAACCCTCTCTATGCTAGTTTCACTTTCACTAAAAGGTCATAGCCCTTTAAACACACCAATTACAGATGCTTTTTTCAATCTCAGGATGCTTCAAACTAGCCTATTTTCTCAGAATTGCCATCACTCATTTCTCATGAAGAATCCAGATTATGTTATGAACAAACAGTTGCAATCTAATATTTTCTGCATTTTCCTTTTTTCAGACCTAAGTTGTGATTTACAGTTTTAATTAAAATGCAACTGCACTACCTGCCTATTCCATGAGAAAGGCAAAATGCTATTGAGGCCTTTCAGGTCTTCTATGCCTTTAATGAAATGTTTCCTGCTTGCAAATTCTGCCTGTTTTATTGCTTCTTGTTGAAGTCTTACTGCTAAAGTGCTTCTTTATCTAATTAAATATTTCTCTTCACTGCCCTTTGGTTTTTGTTCTTTTCTGGGGAAGAGTGGACTTTAATTACTTTCATTTTTATATAGCGAATAATGAGAGGAAGTCAGCAATTAAAGCTTCACCACTGCTAGAAGAGAAACTAACAATAGGGAGCAGTTAAGAGGCTGTTCATCAGGAATTCCACTGCCCCTTCTAACATGAAGTGATTAATGAGGCAGAACCGGCAAGCTGGGAAATTGTGCTAATATTGGAAAGAAGCTATGGTGAACAGAACATTTGTAAGTAAACATTATAGAAGGATCGTGGCCATGGGGAAGGACACTGCTGGGTAAAATAGCACTATATTAAGTGCTGAGTGGAACCACCATCTAAATTCTGCTTCCAGTTGATTGCAGAAAATGGATGCCTCAGCACTACTAACTGTGATATCTAATATGAAAACAAAATCTTGCCTTCAGAACTATATAGTAACACCTTATAGTTTTGGCTTTTTTTAAAAAAAGGTGCTAAAACTTACTAATACATTTGTATACAAGTTTACAACACAGTAGACATTCTTTCATAATATTGCAGCAGCATTCCCCCCCCCCCCTTTTAAACTTGTCACTGGCAATTTCTGCATTTCCACCACACCACTTTTTGTCTTTTATTTTTTACAGAGCTGAATGGGCCATTTGAACTATCTGCAGTGTTCTTTTCTAAAGGTTTTGTAACATTTTATTTTATATAGGTACAGGTAAATATCCCCTTCTATTCCAATTAGTTGGGTTAGGGCTATTTTCCTCTACCCAATCAGTCCATATCTATTCTCTAATCATTCAAAAAACTGTTGGATAAATAAGGTAAAGACAGTAGCATAATCAAGAGGTAGTGCTTTTATAATATCAATAACTGTAATGATAACAGAAGCCAGCATTCAACAGTGCCATATGACAAAGAAAAAAGGAACACCAATATATATCTTAATATGAAGTAGAATAGAAAACAATCACTCTACTGTCTTGTTTGCCTATTTATGTAGCTCCATACCTACACTTCCATATTTATGTGTTAGATATTGTCTTCTGCAAAATTATTTTGCATTCACACCAAGGATCTGTCAATACTGACTACATTTTTAAGACATCAACAGTAAATGCTATCTTAGCTTCTACATGAAGTTATTATAATTGTCTGCAGTGTTCAGTTCCTCCCCAGGTACTCACATATTTCATCTTATTGCACACACCTATCCAATATCAAGTAAACTTGCATACATATGTACTGTAAGTGACTCTGCACTGTCATTATTTTCTTCTTAGAAAATATTACTAGATGACAAGAAAATGTAATGCTGTCTCTGCTAGTTTCTTTAGTGCAGGACCGAACCCAGGCCCTGACAAAGACTGCCCAAAGAGTTGCATCTCCCCAACCTTTCATTTTCTTGAAGTGCTTGAAAGAGTGTTAAATAGGCTGTTTCGTGACAGACAGGTCTCTTCTCTGGATGGCAGCAATAAGCAAGTACTTCTTTTTTACAGAGTTCTACCTCCTTATCTTCATATTCAAAGTAAATACAATGCCACTGGCAAAGAGCATATGGTCTAAGATATCAGCATTAATTTACAACATCAAACTCTATCCCTTTTTTGATCCTGTCTGAATGCTTTACTATGTTGGGTTGCTGATCTAAGTGCATTATTCTTGCTTTGGATGCTAAGATGTTCTGGATTCAGTTCCCAGGTAGGACCATACAGCCACACTTTTCCATGAAAAGGCTGTAGTACAGAAGTAAATCCCTTGCATGCAGAACTGCCCTGAAAGACTGCTGCAAATCAGAGCAGACAAAACTGAGCTAGATGGATCTAAAGCTGTTCTTTTTCTGGCCAGTGAGCTGGGCAATGCATAAATGCCATCTGAAGACAATTATCTTTGGCAAATGTTAAAATGCTTATTTACACACGATCATTGCTGCCCACTGGAGGACCCATCCACTATGAATGGCATTCAAATTTTTCTGAGCAGTACAAAGCCTCCACTCCAAGCCTTTCTCAGTCAGCTACTGTGCCTGGAAATCCAGGTGGCAATAAATGGACGCAAGAGCTTTCTACCAATTTTGCCTTGTGAAAAGGTTGTGATTCATACTTCCGACCCGCACCTGGCAAAAGTTAATTATGGTTTCATAAGACAATAATGCTGAAATAAATTTGGTACAAGGCTGGCTTTGAATGCTACTCACAGGCTTTATCTGCATCCCAGCCACATCCTTCCACATTGCAAGAGCAAATGTCTTAGAAACGATTCAGCATATATTTATAAATTCATTACTATAAGGTATACAAATGCTAGTAACTCTAGTAAGATTCAGTTGGTTGGAATGCACTTCTAAAAACAGGGATGCACAACCTGTGGTCCTCCAAAGCCTCAACTGCAGCCCCCTCACTTGGGTACTCTGATGCCTGATTTCCCCTCCTCCATGATCCTGATGCAAATACTTTATATACTGTATTTTGAATAGAATAGCATCCATAAATTAGGCATTCGCCCCACCCAAATAACATATATTTTAAAATAACACATAAATACTGACCTTGTTTCTTTCAACCCTTCTTTCTGAATTACTTCCAATATTTGCTTTGCAGTCATGGGCGAATTGGGGTGTTTTTCCAGTGCCTAAAAAAGAAATATATGTGTAAGAAGGCAAAGAGTATTTTTTTCATACATTTCAACTATTCTGTGATCATGCATTTTTCATAATACTTTGTAAAAAGTGGGAAGCTGCATGTCAAGGGTTCTTGCTTCGACTGCAGAACAAGAAAAACTAGCTTATAACAGAGTTATGCTGAAGATCATGGGCATCACCCTAGCAAAATGCACAGAAAGGGTTTTACATGGCAGACAACTGGAATTATGAATCCTATATTGTGATTGTAAAAGCAATTTGTTTTGAGGTGGGGAAGGTGGGAGATTGTTTTTTTTCTACTGCTTGAACCATTTACGGCTATTAACACTGCATGTTCAATACATTTTTCCATTTGCAGTAGATGGACAGCTTTCAGAAATAATGCAACCAGTTTCATAATTTAAAACTATGAAAAAATTAACATAAGAAAGCAACATGTCCAAAAAACAGCAACATTATAACTTGTTCTTGAAATATGCATTCCAGTTCAGCTCAGTTTTCCACTCTTTGCCTTTTATTAAGTGATCCTAATTAGTATTCTGCAATTCTAGTAAGAAAGTTTCTACCTCCTTTGCTACTCCTTCCAGCTTCTTCTCGCCTAAATTCATTACTAGTTCTGGGAATTAATCAACCAAGCAAAGTCGATGGTGGTAGTGTACATTGCCTCTAAGTATATTACCAAATTATCCTTACTAAAAAATGTACATCTCAATGAGAAATAGTTAATTAGCTCGGGATCCACATTCAGGCACTCCTAAGCTACTCTGTCAGTAATGAGTCTTACCACAACCATTAAAATGGTTATCTCCTAGGAACAAATAAATACTAGGATACCAGATCAGGGATATCTTTAGTCCCTGCTGGATGCAGCCTCCCAGCTGCTTGAGGAAGTACTGCAGAGCCTGCTTGTTGCTGTCTTGTGTATCATGCCCAGTCTCCGCAACCATGTGAAGTGGCAATACACTGACAAGGCTACACATTCCGCAGCAGGAACTATGCTAGAAACTTGATGATTAAATGTGTATGTTATCCGATCTCCAGATATTAAATTCAACATCTCCCATTTAATATTGACTGCAGTGACAAGAGAAGTTAGTAGAAACTATTTAACTAAAGTGTTCTATTTAGCTATGCAGACCTACTCTCATTTCTCATCTATATGAGTAGGCTTTCTTGCCTCTCCTTCCACAGCATAACAGGCTACTGCCCAATATAATGCTGTTTTACAGTTCAGATCCTAATTTATAGGAGGACCAAAATTTACAGATTAAACTGAACCAAAAGTTTTGGGAGCCAAATTGAACTTCCAAAGAAATGCATTTCATATAAAAACAAAATATGAAATATTAGTTTCATACAGGGCAACATACATGTGGATATCAGATCTCAGAAAAATTAAAAAAGAGTTTTATAAAACAAGGTGGAAGATGAAATGAAGGATAAGGCAAGAAGGAAGAAACTCAACTGAACTGGAAATATCCCAGAGTTTAAAGCAGGAGTGGGTAACCTGTGGCCCTCCAGATGTTTTGGCCTACAGCCCTCATCAGCGCTAGCCAACACAGCCACAGGTGAAGGATCATGGAAGGTATAGGCAACACATCTGGAGGGCCACAAGTTGCCCACCCTGGAACTGAATACACTTAGGATAAAAGGATAGTCGGGGAAACTATACTGGACTGGACAAGGCTATGAAGGAGATTGGGTACACTTGAAGGTGGGGTTACTCACTGTGGAGGACTCCCTGTTTCTCTTCCCGTGTACGGGCCCTCAGCACACCTGGGCAGCTCCTCCCTGAAATTGAGAGAATTTGGGTAGCCCTGTCCCCTTCTCTATGACATCACAGCCTATTCTATAGAGTAAGTGGTAACATCAGATGTTACAGCACAAGTTGGATGAAAAGGAAAAGACAATTTTATGTCTACCTTGGAAAAGAGAGGAGGAGGCACAAGCTGCACTGAGTTGGTGTGGGGAGGAACAATGGGCAGATGCAAGGATGGACACAGAAGATCATCATTACAAAGACACAGCACAAACAAAGCAAAGCTGACAAAGCAATATGCACAATAGAAAGATTCTGGTCAAGCCCACAAGACAGCACTGCAATCCACAAGGTGGGAAACAAACAAAGCAGGACACAATGGCATCCCAAGATGTCGAATGTGTTTGGAAGACTGAGCATGAAGGAGCAAATTGCTCTGGTTTCTGCATATACTGATGTGGGACGGATTTTCAAATAACTTGCTGAGTTTCCTTTTTTATTTGCCCAATCCTTTAGAGGAACTTATCTCCAAGAACTAAAAGAAAGAAACCTTGCTTCTCCACAGCAAGAAGCTAATCTCTCTTGATTCTGAACGCTTTCTCAATTCT